GCTAGGGGATGATTTCTCACTTTCCCTCTCTCCTTCTCTCTCCAGTAAGCACAGACAACCTGTGGGAGAAACAAAAACAACAACAAAAACAAAACAAAACAAAACAAAACAAAAAGCTATAAAATCTCTTCACGTTGAAAAGTAAGTTAGGAATGTGTGTTGAGTGCTCAAAATCCCAAAATGAGAATGAAAGAGATGGTGGTTTGGCCATCCCTTCTTTCTCCCTCTTTCTGACAAATAAATACACATGCACTATAGCAAAAATAAAAATAAAAAAAGGTTATAAAATTGTACTATATATCATATTGAAATCAGGGACCATGGTGAGAATAACACATACTCATTATCTAATTCATTATCTAACTGAAAACTAAAAATTGAATAATTTTTCATTAATAACTTTGCTCATTTTTATAAATTATAATTGTTGGTCATTTGTTGCCTAAACATTATAATATCTAGCTGCTTTCGAACTATAATTGCAATGAATGGCTTATTTAACCTCTAATGATTATAAAATGAAGTATACATCATGTTTAAAATTTCCTTGTAGCATCAGAATCATTTCGTATGGCTCACTGGTGTTATGTTGATAACCAGTTAGGTAGAGTGATAACTCAAAAATCATTTGAATGTCGTGCAGAAATTTCTGTTTATTAAATATATTATCATGCTCCTTAAAGTAATTTCCTGCCAGATAACAATACTTGGCACAAATGGTAGCACAATGTCTGGTGCATAGTAAATACTGAATGAATAAAGAGAGAACAAAAGTAGAACTGTAGTCTAGGGGATTCCTTCCTATGCTTATCTGATTTAGACTCTAAAGAGAATACTAGTTAGACCTCTTGGGGTCTAACCACAATTTGTTTTTACTCCTCTTTAGACTAAGAAAAAAATCAAAATAAATTCACAGCAGATGAGCAAATAGTTTATTTACCTTGAAATTTCTCTGCTCTCAGCAACATTTCATTGTGCTATAATTATGAGCTCTTTATGTTAAATTTCTGTTAATCTGATTATTATTTTGTAACATTCCATTATTAAAAACTCATTTTAAAATATGTGGCTTCACCTACACATAAATCAATTTTGGAATAAACATTCCATTCATTCCTTCTATCCCTCATTCATTTATCTGCAAATACTTTGAGCCCAGGGAATTTATTAGGCATATACACAATTGCTGAGGCTTCAGTGGTGAATAAAACAAAACTCAGGTTTTGCCTTCACAGAGATAGGATTTATTGAGAAACTCTCAGAACAGGATAAGATAGTAGAAACACAGAGTGTAATAAAAGCATGTTGGAACAACATGAGAGGTTGCAATAAGATTCCTACATAAAAAGACATTAAAAAAAATGAGACTCACTGAAAAAATAACTATGTGAGGTGATGCATTTGTTAAGTACTATTCTATAATGTATATACACTTCAAATTTTGTAAATATAAATAAGTAAAACTGTCCACTTAATAAAATAATTAATTTTAAAAAGACTTTTAAAAAAAAAATGGGGCCCAAGGGATGAAAAATTGAGTAGAATGAATGGGCATAAGGTTGAGGTACAAGTTTTTCTTTTTCTTTTTTTTAACCACTTACTTAACTTTATTTTTTATTTTTTTAATTTTATTTTTTAAAATTTAATTTTCTTTAATACATTCAAACACATTATTATTTGTCTTACAAAAGTGATATTTCAACAGGTGAACATTTCTCCCTAGTACACTTGATAAAACTAAAAAATATCTTCAACAGATAATACCACATTTCTTTGTCCCATTAATGTTTTAACAAAGTACTGCAGGTGAAAGGAGTATGAAGAAAACCTAACAGCCTCTTTATGGCCATGTTTATTAATTCATCTATTCATTCAACAAATATCTATTAAATCATCCTCTCCATGACACCATGTTCCAGTCATCATACACAGTATGATGCTTATTAAACAGCAGGGACCAGCAGTTGGCATAATGGCTATGTCATTAGACTCCCACGCAGTCAACCGCAGTTCAAGTCCCAGACCCAGTGGCTTAAACTCACACCAGGAGTGTGTGCATGTGTGCCCAAGACCCCAGGTGGAGAATGGAAGAGAAAGGATTGTGGCATGACCATCTCCCCTGGGGCCCAAGTGGAGAATGTAGGAGAAGAGATTGCAGCGTGGCCATCCCCCCTGGGGAGTGATTTCTTGCTTTCTGTCTCTCTGTCCCTCTCTGTCTTTCTGGCGAGCACACATGCCCTATAGAAAAAAAACTCTAAAAAACAAAAACAAACAAAAAATACCCAAAGAATATTCTAACAAAAAAAGGGGGAGGGAGGGGACCAGCAGGTGGCATAGTTGTTAAGGTGCTGGACTCCTGTGTCACCAACCATGGTTAGAGTCTCAGACCCAGTAGCTTGAAATTCACACTGGTCATTTGTGCATGCGTGCCCAAATCCCTCAGAGGATAAGAGATTGCAGCATGGCCACCCCCCTTGGAGGAGAGGGGTTATGTCTACTTTCTCTTTCTCCATCTCTCTCTGTCTCTCTGGTGAGTGCACATGCCCTGTAGCAAAAATCTCTCGGAAAAATATAAACTTTATAGATATATAAATATTTATTTATATATATATATATATATATATAAACATTTATACAAACACACACACACACACAGATACACACATGCACACACACACGTATGTATGTGTATGCATGGAGAAGAGATTGCAGATAGCTGTTCTCCCTGGGGGGTCATTTCTCTCTTTCTTTCTTTATCTCTCTCCTTCTCTTTCTTCTTTCTCTCTCTGGCCAGTACATGTGTCCAGTAGCAAAACTATAAAAAGTTAAAACAAAGAGGAAAATAAGAAATGTAAACAACTTTAGCAGCTGAGTAAACCCAAGGAATATTTTTATTCTTTAAAGATTTAAAGATGTTTCATAGAGAAAGATGCTTTAAAGGCAAGGGCTTAAGAATACTGAATTTTTTTTCTGGTTTGTTTTTTTTTCTCACACTTCCTTTGTTCTACAAGGAAAAATAATTTTCATGTAGTCATATTACAAATGTACAGTTTAGAGCTCAAATTATTTTAATAATCTAGATGCAAAGACTACAAAGCCAAGAAGAAGCCACGGGCCTTCAGGAGAAGGTTCCACATGGCTTCAGTGAGCTAGATTTTTAAGGGAATGAAGATTTTCTACTAATAATTCAGCCTCCAACAAACGAGCTAGCG